GCTGCCCCCTGAGCCTCGCTCTCAGGCCTGCCCAGCCCCCCAAGGCACCTTGTGGTGGGCCCCTCCGGTAGCCCAATGAACACATCAACACACTCTCCACGTGTGGTCACCAGCTACAGAAAACAAGCAGATGCACACAGCCACTGTTCCGTGTGGTGAAGGTGAGAAGACGGGGGAGGCTAAGCTGCACCCCTCCAGCCTGCATGTGGTGGGAAGGATGAAAATAGTTTCCAAGGTTAGTACCTCCGACCTCGTGAATGCACATGAAGAGATGGGGAGGGGCAAGGAGGAGTAGGGAGGAGGGGGGGTACCAAATAGACTAACACAAAAGAATAAGCTGGACTAAAGGGCAAAGGCAGGTGGCAGAGTCCCGAATAGGGGTTTGAATCTTGCCTCCACCCGGGCAAGTCCCCAGAGCCCACTGGGAGGCCTCGGCTTGGCTTGCACCTCCGCACTGCTGCCTCCTGCAGGTCCTCCAGCAGCGCTAACGGAGCACCTACCCAAGCAGGGCCCATAGAAGCAAGGGTGAGACCACCCATCACTGGCTCAAGTGAGAAATATTTACACTTGTGAACAATAGTGAGGAAAGGATGCTGGAACCAATTCTCCAATGTGCAGACGGGGAAAGGGCCCACTGGGAAGAAATGACCTTGTCTCAAGTTTTTCCCCCAAGGCCCGGATAGGATTGTAGAGGATGCAGGGACTTTCCGTGCTTTGGGCTTTTTTTTTTTTTTTTTTTTTTTTTAAGTAGCCTACACGCCCAAGCTCCTCCCACATAGTCATAGGGGAAACTCCAATTCTGAGCAAAGCTTTGGAATCCGGTTGGAATGAGGTTTCACTTTCTCTGCAGGCTCTGGTTTCCTGATGTCACTGTGGGAGGCTGGGCAGGCAGCCAGCTTAGCTTAGGAAGAGTGAATGAAAGAGGAAAAGGGAAGGCTGGGCCAGGAGAGCAGGGGAGGGGCTGCACGAGGCTGGAGGAATTGCTTTGCTGTCTGGCTTTAGTGAGGAATATGCTGGGAAAAGAGGTGCAAGAGGTAAGAATGTGGGTGAGAACCGGACCTCTGAACTCGAGAAGCCCATCAATGAGCCTGCAGGGTCTATGAATCTCTTACATGCAAAATTATACATATTTGTGGAAAGTATTCACAACTTTCATCAGATTCTTAAAGGACTCCATTACCCTTACAGATGAAGAAACTTAGTGGCCTTAGCCGCTAGGCTCAGTGGATAGAGCATTGCTCTGAGGACTGAAGGGTTGCAGGTTCAATCCCGGTCAAGGGCAGGTCAAGGGCATATGCCTGGGTTGTGGGCTCCGTCCCCAATGGGAGACATGAAGGAGGCAGCCAATCAAACTCATCATTGATGTTTCTATCTTTCCCTCTTCCTTCCTCTCTGAAATAAATGAAAAATTTTTTTTTAAAGAAGAAGGAAAAGAAACTTAGTGGAGTAAGAAATGAATGCGTGACCTAGACAAAGCACAATGGCTGGACAGGTTCCTAATTCTCAGGATCATAAAATGCTGGGCGAATTGTAATGATACTTGTCATTCATTGAACACCGACCCTGTACCAGGTACCACACTGGTAAATTTACACAGGCTCCTTGATTTCCTCATGGAATCAGTACATTAGAGCCAGAGAACTTGGCACAGGAGAAAGTGAGTGGCAGAAATAGGATTACAATTAAGTTCTTTTCCTTCATCTGCCTGCCCTCCACTCTCTGCCAATCCATTGGAACCACCAAAGGGAAGAAGAATACTCCTGATGTATGTACCCATTGCCTATTTCTGCTCAGCAACCCCACCACCCTACCTACCCCATTCTCACTACCACTTACACACACACACACACACACACACACACACACACACACAGATATGGATCGTGTTGGTTCATCTATGGATTGCTTCCTTCACCTCCTCCTCAGCTAGAGTTCCAACTCAGCATATTTGGTACCCAAGAAAAAACTTTCCTTTCTTCCTTAAAGAGAGAAACTAACATCAAGGAAATAGGAATGGAGCTCACATGGAAAAACTGAACCTTAAAATTTTTTTTTAAGATTTCTCTTAAAAAAATGCAGTGTGACAGAAAATCCATGAACCCAGACTTGGGTTCAATGTTGAGTTCCATCTACCACTTTAGGCTATGGAACCGTAAGTAAATCACTTAACCTCCCTAAGCCTCAACTGACACATTCGATTAAACATAAATAAAGGTCACTTAAAAATAAATGAGAGGTCACTCATCACTATTAATTGGGGTCTTATCTAGATTACTAAAAAGCCTCAAGTATAGGACATCCCTTAAAGGAACTGACATTTTTCTTACTGTCAATAATAACATGATAATAACAGCTAATATTATTAAGTACTTAAACATGCATCAGGCACTGTACTAAGAGCTTACAAGCGTGAGTGTGTTTATTGGCGCTGAGTCGTCACTATTATTATCCCCGGTTTATAAATGAGGGAACTGAAGCCAGAGAGATTAAGTAACTTGCCCACGGCCACGTGGTTAGTAAATGGGAGAAACACCAAAGCCCCTGCTCTTAGCGTGCCACACAGCCTCCCACGTATTTGGGAACTATGGGGGTTTTGTGGAGGGAGCAATTAAAACAGGCATGCCCAGCCAGCACGGCTCCGTGGTGGAGGGTAGACCTATGAACCAGGAGAGCATGGTCCGATTTCTATTCAGAGCACATGACCGGGTTGTGGGCCCAATCCCCAGCGTGAGGGTGTGTAGGAGGCAGCTGATCAATGATTCTCTCTCATCATTGACGTTTCTATCCCTCTCTCTCTTCTTCCTTCCTCTCTGAAATCAATTTAAAAGATAAACAAACAAGCAGAACATTATTCTTTGGATGGATGAATGTTTCTGAAGTATTTGCAATTTATTTCTTTAAATGAGATGTCCATGTCTTCCAAAATTGTGTTTCTACTGTTAATTGCTTAACAAGGAAGGAATGAGAGGATCCTTGTGACAATCTTAGAATAGTACTGGCACCTAAAATGGACATAATCACTGTTAAATGCCCGGCTGATGTGAGTCAGTGGAAAGAGCTATGCCTGGTCATCAGAAGCACCTTTTCAGCTGTGTGACCTTGAGGCCCTTAATGACCACATCTGAGGCTGTTTCCACTTCTGCAAATTGAGATTCGTAACCACCCTGTCTGTGAGGAAGGCAGAGCACCAGGTCTTCCCTCTCTGGGTGGTTCAGTCACCCCAGCCACTACTATCTGTGTGACAGTAACTAGCAAGACAGTGTACTTGGTATAACATTACACTTCTTTTTAAGTTGGTTTTTTTTTGTTTTGTATTGTGTTTTTTTTTAGAATTTGTTTGCTTTTGGGACTGTCAATAGACACTTTTTGCTGAGATCATTCAGAGGTCAACTTCAGCCCAGCTCAGGCCAACTTGTCACTAATTCTGAATTATCCAAATAGGAATTGATAATGATTTACTGTAGCCAGTTCTTTGGAATGGGTGAGAACCCTGGCTTTAATTGAGACCACCACATGAGTTCGGTTCAAGGATGTCCCCAACGTGAACCTTTTCATTGGCGAGCAGTATTTGGCAGAAAGAGCTCTGAAGCGGGAGCTAAGGCGCCAGGTTTGATCTCATCATTCATTTACTGTGTGTTTTTAGCAAGTCACCTCCATGCTCCGGGCCTCAGTTCCCTCCTCTGCAATGGAAGAACATGAACAAAATGATCCATAGATCCCTTTGTAGCTTCCTGTGGGGACAAAAAATAGTCTCTGCCTTTTTTGTCTTAGAAATGAGATGAGGCCCAGCCAGCATGGCTCTGTAGTTGAGCATCAACCTAGAAACCAGGAGGTCATGGTTCCATTCCTGGTCAGGGCACATGCCTGGGTTGCAGACTCCATCCCCAGTGTGGGGTGTGCAGGAGGCAGCCGATCAATGATTCTCTTTCATCACTGATGTTTCTATCTCTCTCTCCTTCTCCCTTCCTCTCTGAAATCAATAAAAATATTTGTTTTAAAAAGAGAAATGAGATGGATTTTAAATCAGCATTTACTGATTCTCATCTTGAAAAACGGGAACATGGAATAATAATAGCAAATGAGTTGACACATGTGAAACCCTTAGAATAGTGCCTGGCAAAGAATAAGCCTTCAGTTAATGGCTCATATTCTCTCTCTCTCTCTCTCTCTCTCTCTCTCTCTCTCTCTCTCTCTCTCTCTCTCTCTCTCTCCTTAATAAGCTTTAAGCTTAAAGACATTAAGCAAATTTCCTAAGGATCACTCAACAAGTAAATGGCGGTGACCCTGCAGGCATTACCCACTCCAACTCATATCGGATGAAAAGGTCGCCAATGCCCAGTTCTGATCCACTGCCTCTATCACCACCCCTCCCCTTCTCAATAAAACATCTCATATCATAAATAACATCCTTCCATGGATGAGAGAAGACACAGACCTTTGAAAGAACCTAATAAACACCCAGTTGTTTCGGACCCCTGTCCTAACCGCCCTCCTCCCGCCCTTAGGGAAGCAGCCTCCTGACTGGCCTCTGGGGGAACCAGCCCTGGAAGGTGAAGCTGAGGATGCCACCTCAGGCTAGCCCCAGCGGTTTCCTATCCCCAGCGCTTGTGCTAGCCCTGCTTGAGGGCAAAGGGGATACCAATGAGCTCACTTTGGATCTGAGGTTGGTGAGGAGAGGAAGAGGGGGGGAAGGGTGAGAGGCGGGGGAGAAGGGAAAGGACAGAGTAAGGGAGAAGGAGAGAAAGAGAGAAACGGAGAAGGAGAGGGAAAGCTACAGCTTCAAATTTCCGGAGGCTATTTCAGTTTTCTTTTCTGTTTAATGCAGTTTCACGTAGGATGTCAGCCAATGAATGCCTGGCTACTATTTTGGAAACTCCCCTGGGGGCGCCCCCTCTACTGGCCAACTGTTATAAAGCGCCAGCCGGAGCTGCAGAGGATCCCTGCAAAGGATCGATCCTAAGACAGCACAGGATCTCCCACAGCCTCCACCCACAGGTACCATGAAGGTCAACGCAGCTGCCTTCGCTGTCCTTCTCACCACAGCCGCCTTCTGCGCTCCTGCATCGGCCTCCCCATGTAAGTCCCAGTCCTGACCACCTGAGTCAGCCCTCAGGCCAGCCCCGACCTTGCATTTATACTGTCTGGACCCTATGATTTACATGCTTACTTATTGCTTTTCTCTGATGCCCAGCGGCTCCTGATGGATCCGTGAGCCACTTCATGGCAGGGACCCTCTGATTAGCATTTCTGTGTTTTCAGGGTCTACACCCCAAGCTTGCAGGCACTCACGGAGTGTGGACTGTTGCTGGGGGTGTTAGTAGGAGGGGCAGCTGAAGCTGACTAAAAACATGACTCAGGCCTGCCCAACACCAGCAAGGTTTCTAAGAAACTTATAAGCATGTAACTAAAACCCTCCTGAGAAAGTCATATTTCTCCCCATTTCATAGATATGATAAAATGGGGCTTGAGAAAGAATAATGAAAGCTAATTAAATACATACTATGTGTCAAGTATTATGCTGATTGCTTTACATATATTGTCTTATTTAATACTATTCTTTTTTAAAATATATTTTTATTGACTTCAGAGAGGAAGGGAGAGGGAGATAGAAACATCAATGATGAGAGAGAATAATTGATCAGCTGCCTCCTGTACACCCTTCACTGGGAATTGAGCCTGCAACCCAGGCATGAGCCCTGACTGGAAATCAAACCATGAACTCCTGGTTCACAGATTGATGCTCAACCACTGAGCCACACCAGCCGGGCTCACAACTATTCTTTCAGTAGCTGACTTACAGGTGGGGAAACAGAGGGAGGCCCAGAGAGGTTAAGTAACTGGCCAGGTTCACACAGCTAGGAAGTGGGGACTCAGGTATTCAAACTCAGTTCTATTTGGCTCTTAAACCCTCCTGCTCTGCTGGGGAATGGCAACTGACATTTCCCAGGGTCAGTCTGAATTAATTGACCAACAAAAACTCCCCCTCCTCTGTTACGGCCCTTCTTACGAAGCCTCAGCCATGGCTCCTGCATCTATGCGTCTCCAGTCTGAGTTTTCGAAGCCTCTCGCCAGCCCACCCTAGGTCTCAAAGAAACCAAGATCTGAACCCATTGAGAATCCTAGGAGGACAAGATAAGGGCAGAGGGCCCAACACAAGTCAGGAGGAGGCCAAGCATGTCCCGAGAGCCAAAGGCATGAGGGTGACGGTGCAGAGAGAAGGATACAAGTGAGGCACAAGGATTAGGTGAGGGGTTGGGGAGAGCCTCTCAGTCCTCTGTTGGAATACCACTCTGTCACTGTGTGTCCATGGCAAAGTGACTTTACCTCTCCGAGCCTCAGGTTCAGCCAAAGGAGGATAATAACCTATTTAAGATAAATCATAGAAAGCACCCAGTGTGCACTGGCAATGAAAACAAGGGTCTCTTCCTTCTTTCTCCCAGATGCCTCGGACACCACACCCTGCTGCTTTGCCTACATCTCCCGCCCACTGCCCCGTGCCCACCTCCAGGAGTACTTCTACACCAGCAGCAAGTGCTCCATGCCAGCAGTCGTGTGAGTCTCAGTCCCATGGAACCCTCCAGAGGGGTGCAGATCCTATCCCCCCAGGAGCTCTGTAGAGGGTGCCCCATCCACTGCAGCCCATCCTCTAGCTGCTCAAATAGCCATGGCTCCTCCAACTCCAGCTTCAGATTCCCCAGCTATCATGAAAAGGATCAGACAGGGTGCTCTTGGAGATCTTCCCCACCCTGATGCACTAGGTTAGTCTCTGATCTTTACAGATGTGGCTTTTACTTGAACATCATCTGCAATGATCTTACATGGAGATCAATTTGGTCGTCACTTTTCAGTTAAGAACTTCACAGTTGCCCACACCCCACAACCTATCAAATCCACTTCAGAGGAACTAAGGAGAGGTCAGAAGGCAGGATCCTTGTTGTAGTCACTTGTGTGAAAAACACACACAACTTGACTGATTGGTGGAGAAATAATAAAATGAGATTCTCCTTGAAATCGGCAAGCTAATACATTTGAAAAAAAAAATCTAATAATCCCTACTACCTAGGAAGTGCCTACTGTGTGTCAAATGTCTTACATGCATTATCTAGACCCAGGGCCAGAGGCTTGGGAGAGCACACAGAACAGAAAGGCAACAACTGGGAGTAATTCTCAAGGGACAGAGATGGAGGCTCTCATGAGACGGGGCAGGAAAAGAGGGAGGTGGGAAGGCAGGCAAGTGGAAGGTCCCCAATATGGGGGGAGGGAGAGAAGGCTTGGCGAGGAGGGGCTTCTCTCCAGGGTCCCATTCTTCAGGGAGGAGGAGGAAATAGGGGCCTGAGCATCCCTGACCCCAGAGGTTTCCTGGCCTTTTGACTTCCTGGCCACAGGCTAAGGAGGCAGAGGAGATCAGATGGTGGTAAGCCAGCAGGATTTCCTGTATGACACCCGGCTTAACAACAGCGAGGTCTGTGTCTGAAGCTTTCTTACCAACCCAAATAAGAAAATAAACCCTAGAAGGTACAAGAGCCCAGAATATGGCTTCTGCTCCCTTTCTCTTATCTGCCCACTGGAGTGGGAGAGAGATGGTTGTGATGATTTGCCAAAGGTAATCCAACTAGTAAGTGGTGAAATCAAGACTCCAGTTTATGTCCTTCCCTCATTCGCCCGCACATGCATAGATTTGTTGAGTGTCTACCCTGTGTCAGGCACTGTGTTATCTAAAGCAAAATTATATGGGTTTTTTTTTTTAAAGTGGGTGTGTGTGGGGTTTTTTGTTTTTTTTTCAATTAGAATTGACATTCAATATTAGTTTCAGGTATGCATCATATGGTTAGACATTGATATAACTTATGAAGTGACACCTGCCCCCCAAGTAAGTCTAGTTCCCAGCTGGTACTGTACATAATTATTACAATATGAGAAGCCCGATGCACGAAGATTCATGCAAGAATGGGCCTTCCTTTCCCTGGCTGCCAGCACCACCTTAGCTCTGGCCAGAGTCACCTTTCCTCTCCCTTTCCGCCTTCCGATGTTGCCCAGAGGCCCGGAGGGGTGAGGTGGTGCGGAACACCTGCATCCTCGCCATGGCAGTGTCCCACCCTGTCCCCAGCTGCTCTGTGCCTGCATATGCAAATTAACCCATCATCTTTGTTGTGTTGATTTGCATACTCACTCCTGATTGGCTGGTGGGCATCACGAAAGTACAGTCAATTATGTTACTCTTTTATTAGGTAGGTGATTGACTATATATCTATGCTGGACTTTATATCCCTGTGACTATTTTGTATCTGCCAATTCATACCTCCTTTTTAAAATATTTTTTTATTGCCTTTAGAGAGGAAGGGAGAAGACAGAGATAGAAACATCAATGATGAGAGAGAATCATTGATCAGTTCCCTCCTACACACCCCACACTGGGGAACAAGCCTGCCACCAGGGCATATGGCCTGACTGGGAATCAGACCATGACCTGCTGGTCGATGCCCAACCACTGAGTGACACTGGCCGACCCCAATTCATACTTCTTAATCCCTTCACCTGTCCTCCAGCTCCCAACCCCTCTCTAATCTGGGACCATCAATTTGTCTTCTGTACCTATGAGTTTGTTTCTGTTTTGATAGTTTGCTAACTTTGGGGTATTTTTAGATTCCATGTGTAAGTGAAATCATAAAGTATTTGTCCTTTTCTGTCTGACTTATTTCACTTAGCATATACCCTCTAGATCAGTGGTCAGCAAACCATGGCTCACCAGCCACAAGTGGCTTTTTGGCCCCTTGAGTGCTTTAACACCACTTCTTCAGGCTGAAAACCGACTTCTGCAAATGGGCCACGAAGTTTCAATTGCACTGTACGTGCGCACCTACACGTGGTACTTTATGGAAGAGCCACACCCAAGGGGCCAAAGAGCAGCAAGTGGCTCAGGAGCCGCGGTTTGGCGATCACTGCTCTAGGTCCACTTATGTTGTTCAGGGCCCTTTCAAGGGGCATAGTTAGGGAATGAGTAAGTGGATCTCGTATAGTAATTAATCCAGTCCAACATTTATAGCTCCTTCCTCTACATCAGAGCTCATAACCTTGGGTAACATTCTAACCATCTGAAAAGATACTAATGTCCAGGCCCCTCAAAGATTTGTTTTACCACCTCTGGTCTCCCTCTTGCTCAGCCATGACCCAGTACCCACAGAACCCCTCCTTTTCTCTGCATCTGGAGCACCCAGCACAGGGTCGGAAACAGAGAAAGTGCTGAGGAAAGACTAGTGATTGACCAGCTCAACCCTGGGCTCCTCGGGCTTATATCCCCTTTTCTCTCCAGGTGACAAACTTGTGTGTGAGAATTACAATGCACACAACTCTGCTTCTGGCTTGGAGCCCTTTTGAATCAACAGGAAAGGAAAGCCACAGATAAAATCTTATGGAGCTCCAAAACTGACCCACCCAGTACCTTCATCATTTCCTCTTGTGCCTCAATCCGACATTCCTAAAACTGGCTGTCCCAGCGCTGACCACGTCTCTCTCTCCTCTCCTCTCCCACAGCTTAATCACCCGAAAGAACCGTCAGGTGTGTGCCAATCCGGAGAAGAGATGGGTGCGAGAGATTATCAACGCTTTGGAGATGAGCTAGAAGATGAAAGGCGCCTCGAACCCAGAACTTGTGCAACTTTCTTATTGCTTCTCCCTAATCCCCGGCTCTCACCTTCCTTGGAGGCCCTGACTCCACCACGCAATGGCAGTTATAAAAGCCTCCCCACCAAAGTCCCCAGGTGCTCCTGGGGCTCTGTCTGCGCTGTGCACAGAAAATCTCTGGCCTTTGAGCTGCAGGCGCCTCAGCTCAGGCTATAGCTCTGCAATCAGGAAGGAAGTCAGCTTGCCTCTGGCCAGCGTGCCTCTGGAGGTGAAGAAGGGGACAAACTGGGCTTCTATGGTAATGTCCCATGGCCAGAGCTCCAATCTCATCCCCTCACTAGGATAGGCTCACTCAAAAGTGAGAAACCAGCTTTCTAATAAAATTTCCAAGACAATTACCAAGCTGGCTCCTGGCATGATTTCCTCCCCGGGGACCCTCCTTCCTCATGAGTATTAAGCACGCAGGGGTGCACACATCTGGTGTCCTCTCTAGATTTGGGGGTGATGCCTTGCACAGTGAGCAGGGCTGGGGAGCATAAGCTCTCTGAGAAGGGGCCTGGGCAGGACAGAGCAGGTAAAGTAAGGAGTGGCTTATCTACCCCAGGGGGAAACTAGAGTCACTACATCCCAACCCCAAGTCCCCAAGGATTTATTTCATTCCCTGCCACAGCTCCTCCATTTCCTCAGACCTTCCCCTTCTACCTGGTCTACCCTATTCCTCATCCCCAGAGGAGGGTCCTCTACACTCTTGCTCCTGGAATAGCAATTTTAATGGCAATCCCAACACCTCAGCTCTTTCAAATAAAGGGAGTAAGTAAAGAGGTGGGGGTACTCCAACTTTCCCATCTATGTGCCCCTTCATGTGAACACATATTGACACTATATATCTTTGTAATTATAGGGAGCATCGTTGAGCGCTCACTGTGTGCTGGGCATTGCCAGCCCCTTACATTCATCATCCCTCATTCCCACAATCCAATGGGGGAGGCAGTATTATTAACCCTGTTTGCAGTTGGGAAAATCCTTGGTAAGAGATGGAAATAACTTGCCCAAAGCCCCAAAGCAAAAGAAATAAAAATTTAAAAAGGGGTGGGGGGGGGGAGAGAAGAAACATTTAAACCCATGAAGTCTGATGTCAAAGCTCATGCTTTTTTTTTTTAATTCTTATTTTGTAAAGCTTCAAACCTACAAAAATGTGATTTGAATGGTAACATTTTACCATATTTGCTTTATCTGTATGCGTGTGTGTGTGTGTGTGTGTGTGTGTGTGTGCATGGTTGGTATAATACATTTTTCCCCCAAATTTGAGAATAAGTGGCAGATGTGCTATCATTTCACCCCTAAAAGTTTCAGTACATATTTCAGACTCAGCACAATACTATTTTCTAAAACACAGGCCATGATCAAAGCCCCACAATTGTCCCAATGTCTTTAAAGCTGTTTTTTCAAATCTAGGATACAGTTGTGTCCAGATACTGAGTTTAGCCACCTTGCCTTTTCAGCGTCCTTTACCAGACTTTCTCTGTCTTTAAGAATATCGACATGTTGGGAAAGTTCAGGTAAGATTTTTGTAGAATATTTCATTTGAATTTGCCTAATTGTTTCCCCCTTATTAAACTCAGGTTTAGTTTTTGGCCAGATTTCCAGAACGATGCTGTCTTTCTCAGTGCAGCACATCAGGGCACACGATGTCAGTTACCTAGTGATGTCAAGTCTGACGGCGTGGTGGCCCATGTTCTCCTGCTACAGTGAGCTGCCTGCTGTGTGCCAAGCACTGTGCTAGGCATTGGGGGTGGGGGACAGGGGCAGAATAGAGGGGTGAAAGAGCTACCAGCCACAATCTGTACAGTCTAGTGAGGAAGATGGAAAGACCCATGAACAGATGAAACATAAGACAAAGCCTTTGAAGGGAAGCACCACTACAAAAGGTTGTGGTCATATTGTGGGGTAGGAAGGATTACACCTAAATGGGGTGAGGAAGGGTGCCTCAGGGAGAAAAGAGATTTTAAGAGATAACATTTAAGCCTTAGTGGTTTGGCTCAGTGGGTAGAGTGTCGGCCTGCAGACTGGTTTGATTCCAGTCGGGGGCATGTGCCTGGGTTATGGGCTTGGTTCCCAGTGTGGGGCATTTGGGAGGCAGACAATCAATGGTTCTCTCAGTATTAATGTTTCTAACTCTTCCTCTCTGAAATCGATATATATATATATATATTTAAGATAACTTTTAAGTAGAGTTTAAAAGATTTGAAAAACGGTTTAAAATGAAAAACATTTTAAAAATAAAATGAAAGGTCTGACAAGTAGAGGAAACAGCATATGCAGAAGTAGGGGTATGGATGGTCTTAGTCTACACTTAGTTCAGCCTCTTGCTACCAAGAAGGGAGGTGTGTGTTTACGAGGGGCTTTCCCATCCCTGCCATTTTCCTGATGCGTAATCCTAAGAAAAACCCCTGCTCCTAACCGATTTATGTGAGCTTGACACTTCACCAAACCTTTGACTCTCTCTTTGAATTTATGCCTCACCATAGCCCCTCTAGTTAGCTCGACAGGCCTGACTTTCCCGCTTTTTAGATGGGGATACAGAGTTCCCAGAGGTAAAATGACTAGCTCAATCCATCCGCCAGTAGATGCCAGGGCTGGGGCTAAAGAAGGGAACCAGACCGCTGGCTGGTGGGAGCATTGTCTCGCTGTGCAAGAGTTAATCCCCAGTCAGGGCACATACCAGAGTCAACCGATGAATGCATAAATACTAGTAAGTGCAACAACAAATCGATGTATCTCTCTCTCTCTCTCTCTCTCTCTCTCTCTCTCTCTCTCTCTCTCTCAAAATCAATCAATAATCTTTTTTATTTTTTTTATTTTTTTAATATATTTTATTGATTTTTTACAGAGAGGAATTGAGAGAGATAGAGAGTTAGAAACATCGATGAGAGAGAATCATCGATCAGCTGCCTCTTGCACACCCCCTACTGGGGATGTGCCCGCAACCAAGGTACATGCCCTTGACCGGAATCGAACTCGGGACCGTTCAGTCTGCAGGCCAACGCTCTATCCACGGAGCCAAACCGGTTTCGGCAATAATTTTTTTTTAAAGAATGGAACTGGAAAACCAGAGATGGTCTGACCTGCAGCACTACCATTTGTCCACCACCTAGAACTGAAGTATCATTGCTGACATGTACACATAAGAAAATGCTCCACATTGAAATTGGGTCTCAAAAGAACTGTTGGCTCAGAAAGAAACTCACTACAGACTGATTCATTTGCCTCTCAGCAAGTAACCATTATGGCTTCTCTCATTTTCGGTTCTTATACGTGTATTTCTTGTATCACATGATCTCACGCATCTAAGGGAAATAATGAACAACATAAGCTGAAGAACAAAAACAGACCCGGGTGACAGAGAAGCATCGATCAGACTGTCAAACCTCAGAGGGAAGGCAGGAAAGGGTGGAGGAAAGGGGGAGAGATCAACCAAAGGACTTGTATTCATGCATATAAACCTAACTAGTGGTCACGGACAACAGAGGGTGGGGGCATGGATGGGGAGAGGTTTGGGATGGGAATAGGAGGATGAGGACAATTATGTGATATCATAGTATGGTGTTTCCCAGACTTTTGACATGTGTGCACCCCTTCTATCATTTCTGTAACGCTGGGTACCCCGCGTACTCATGAGAACGTAGAATTAGGCGCAGCTAAGCACGGGGCAGTGCATGTCCCCACCAAACTCCGGTGCAACACGTACCCCCACCAGACTCTTCCCGTACCCCTGGGGGTACACGTACCACACTTTGGGAAACACTAATGCCATAACCAATAAAGAAATTAAAAAAAAAAAAAAGAAAGAAAAGAATGGAACTGGAGCATTCTGGTTACCTAGGACACCTGGTTGCTTAGTATTTGGAAGCTTCCATTTCCAGAAGCCCAGACATCTCATTAGTTCCTCTTGTGCAGAAGACAGGTCTCCCTGACCTGTGTCTCCACATCCCCAAAGGCCCCGTATTCTTCTACCACCACCACCACCCTGCCCTCTAGCCCCACCAGGAGAATAAAAAGATGGCCTACGAAAAATCAGTCAATTTCTTTGAAATTGCCAGGTCAATGCTCGAGTACCCATGGCTGGAATATCCAAACAGGACCAAAGGTGAGGCTGGGATGGAGAGGAACAGAATCAGGAGCAAGGGCCTGAAAAGAAAAGCCCCCTGGCTCCCCTCCCAGGCAGGGGTCTGGGAGAGTTCAGCAAATCCATGGAGTGGGTCAGGGAAAGCCCATGGACACTTGGATGGCTCCCTGCGGCTGGCAAGGTAAGTCTCCAGGGTCTTAAGGAGGACATCTTGTGTTTCCCAGGGTCTGCTCCTGCATCTGCACCCTGGCTCTCTACCTAACACTCACACCTGCAAGTCTTTGCATACCTTGTTCCCCAAGCCTAATGCTCCTCCCCTTATCCATCTGGCTAACTCCTACTTGGACTGAAGACTCAGCTTGTGCAGAGTCTCTGGGTAAACAAGTACCGAGCCAGGTTAAGGGTCCCTCATCTGTACCACCTGTGCTTTCATCTGTCTTCATATTTGTTTCCCTTTGTGTCTCACCGGCTGGTCCAGTGGCTCTCAAAGTGTGGTCCCAGGACCAGCAGTATTAGCATCTCATTAGAAATGCAAATTCTCAGGCTGAATCAGTCTCTAGGGCAGTGTTTCCCAAACTTCTCTCATGATGAGAATCATCTGGTGGAGTTGTTAAAATACAGAATTTTGGGAACATATAGCTTAGAGCACTAGGTAAGTATATACAATTTTACCTATATGTTCCCAAAAATTCTAGTTTAGCACTTCTTAGTTGGGATTCAGGAATCTGTATTTGAACTCCACTAGGTGATTGTCATCATGAGAGAAGTTTGGGAATTGCTCTAACAAACTCTCCAGGTGACTCTGACGCACACTCAAGTTTGAAAAACACTGGCCAGAACCAATGGTTTTCACCATTAGCTGCACATTAGAA